CCAACCATTCCCAATATTACCTCATAGAGAAAGTTGCGCCCTTGATGTTGGACTTGAAGAAAAAAGAGGTGGAATTGAGCACACGACAAACCGACGCAATCTCAGTCTTCTTATTATCCTGGAGCCCTTTCCCCCTGTACTCGAACGCCCAAGAGGAAACGAGGGGGACGAAGGGGGGGAGGGATGAGAGGGAGGGAGGGGGGGAGGGGAGCGCGGGGAGTGAGGGGGGAGGGGAGGGGGGCGAGGAGTACGATGGGATGAGGGAGGGGAAGGGGAAAAGGCGGACCGGGAGAGCGGGGGGGGGGGGGGGAGGACCCCATGGGGTGGGGTGGAGGTGGGGGAAGGGGAACGGGGAGCAGGTCGGAAAGGGCATAATCGGGTGGGCGGAAGGAGAGTCTCACAAAGGGGGCCGGGGAGCCGGCATAGGAGAGGGAGCCGGAGAGGAGGGGAGGCGGGGTGAGGCGGGAGGGGGCGGGGGGGAGGGGGACCCATGGGGGGGGGGGAGATGTGGATAGCAGGGGACGCGGAGAAGCGCCGCGGGACCCCGCGACGACCGAAAGCATCTGGCACCATCGTTCTCCTTGCTCTTCATGGGTTCCTCAGCTGCTCGTCCTCCTCCTCTCTCCAGCTCCTCCTCATCCTCCTTACTCGTTTGTCCTCCCTCATCCTCCTCCTCTCCTTCCTCATCCTCTTCTCATCCAACCCGTCCCCTGTGCTTCTGTCTGCTATTGCCCCTCCTTCCGAGGTCACCAGAGAATGTCCCCCCTCATGCTCATCCTCTCCATGCCCACCTCCTCCTCCCCCTCCAGCCTACTCCTCCTCCTCCCTCCTCCTTCTCTCCCTCCTCCTCCTCCTCCTCCTCCACCTCCTCCTCCTCCTCCAGATCCCCCCCTTCCTCCTCCCAGGGCAACAGTCGAATCCCTCTCCTCCCGCTGTCACATCACATTCGCTATATTCGCTACAAGTAATAGACCTCTCCCCCTCGCACCCCCCAAGCGTGTCGGTAGGACGGGTCGGTCGATTGAAGTAATACTTCCTCACCACTTACTATCCTAAATACGGGTATTCGCGGCAAGAACACGGCCAGAGGGGGTCGTTTTCAACATGGGGCTCTCGCATTACCGCCGCGCGCATTCGTCTCAAAACATACACTATTTACAAGGATTGGGAGGGCAGTTTGCGAAATGGAGCTCTCGCTTCAACGCCGCGCGCACTCGCATGGTCCGTTCTCAGCAGCTACAATGATGGATTAAGGTTCGTTTTCAAACTAGGGCTCTCGTCTGAGCGCCGCGCCGTCTTGACATCTTGCAGCAATTCTGTTAATAAAAAGGGGGCGCTTTCAAACGCTCTCGCGTTAGTGTCGCGCACATTCGCCGTGCACCAGTTGCATGCGTAGACGACGGCTGCATATCAGAAAGGGGCTCTTGCTCGAGGCGCCCAAGCAGTGGAGGCGAGTCCACAAGAAACCTGCCAGGACGTCCACAGGATGTCCACAAGTTTTTGGTGTGGGAACGTCACGCTTTCCATGGCGAAAACATCGAAACCTTAGAAACCCAGGGCACCCTGGAGGCAAGCAGGGTGTTGGCGTTTCTTGGCATGGCCCCCACTGCATTTCAGAGGCCAGGAGCTTAAAGATATGTACCAGCTGCGCGGATGGAGGCTTGGCTCCTTTTCGAAACGGGGCTCTCGCTCGGGAGGTCCTCGAAGGTCTGGGCCGTACGTGTAAACTTGCGCGCGCCACTTGCACGGCCTCGGTGGCGGTTCTTGGTTCTCTCTCTTAAGATGGGGGCATCGCTGGATGAAATCAACTTTCGCGTTCCTGGCTATGCGCTAGAAGTATGCAAGGCGATCTCTTCAAACCACAGGGCCTCTCGCCTAAACGGCAGGCCTAAAGGGTGCTGGTCTTTGAAGAGGGCGCTTCTTGTAGTGAACAGGAAGGCTTGTGGGGACGTGTGATGAGGGGAGCTGGGACGGAGGGGTGTATTGCAGCATCGCTGGTGCATGTTAGGTTTACTCTGGTCCTCCTCCTCCTCCTCCGCCTCCTCCTCCTTCTCTTCCTCCTGCTCTTCCTCTTGCTCTTCTTCCTTCTCCCAGTCTCCTTCTCCCGCGAGCGCGCGGCGGAGGACAAATGATGGGGGGAATCCCCCCGTTCAACCCCTCCTTCCCCTCCTCCTCCTCCTCCTCCTCCTCCTCCTCCTCCTCCAACTCCTTCTCCTCCTCCTCCTCCTCCTCCACAGCCACCTCGGCGTTGTCCTCGTCCTTCTCCCTCCTTCACCCCTTTCCTCCTTCTGCTATCCCCCTCCTCCTCCCCCTCTCCTCCCCCCCTCACACTCCTTCTCCCTTCCACCTCGCCCTCCTCCCTCCTCTTCTTCCTCCTCCCCCTCACCTTCCCCCTCTCCAACTCCCCCTCCCTCTCCCCTCCCCTCGCCCTTCTCTTCCCCTCTTCCTCCCTCCCCCTCCCCATCACATTCCTCCTCCTCCTCCTCCTCCTCCTCTTCATCCTCCTCCTCCTCCTCCTCCAGTCCTCCTCCAGTCCTCCTCCAGTCCTCCTCCAGTCCTCCTCCTCCTCCTTGCCCCTCCGTCCCTCTCCCTCATGAAGAACTCCTCCCTGTAGCACCCCCAGGCGTGTCGGTAGGGCGGGCGGGGCGTTTTGCCCGATGCTTCCTCACCATGTATGACCCTCACGCTTGACATTGACAGCAATTTCACGGATGGAAGGCGGACGGTTTTCGACATGTGGCTCTCGCCGTACCGCCGCACGTATTCGTCCTAGTAGTATCAAGGATGGAAAACTGGTGGCTTTCAGCATGTGGCTCTCGCCGTAACGTCGCGCGTATTCGTCCTAGTATTAATGATGGAAGACGGGTGGCTACCAACATGTGGCTCTCGCCTTCGCGCCGCGCGCATTCTTTTGTTTGTTACTAATTTCTTGTATGCTTAAGTGGAACAGCTTCCTGGATGAAGGGCGGCTCCTTTTCTAATTGTGGCGCTCGCCTTAGCGGCGCGAGCACTCCTTGTAAACATTTGCAACGGCTCCAAGTATATAGAGGGCAGGTGATTTTCAACATGTGGTTCTCCCTTAGCGCCGAGCGCATTCGTTTTAACAGTGTGCAGCAAGTTGAAAGATGAACGACTTGTGGCTTTCAACATGTGGCTCTCGCCTTAGCGCCGCGCACATTCGCCTTCACACAGCTTGCAAGAGCTTCACGGATGGAGGGCGTTCCCTTTCAAACTGTGGTTCTCGCCTCATCGGGGCGCATCTACGTGGTAAACATTTGCAGCGGTTCCAAATCTAGAGGGCATGTGGTCTTCAACATGTGGCTCTCGTCTTAGCGCCGCGCGCACTCGTCTTAAAAAGTTAATAGCAAGTTCAAGGATTCGTAGGGTTGAAGACCTGGAGCGGTGCTCTGACACGGTTTAGGATTGTCAGGATTTGAACCATCACCTTAGTTCGCTGTGTTGAAGTCCCAGGAACGGTTCTCTGCCACGACTCCAGATTGCCTCGACGGAATAATCACGTTGATCCGCGGCGTTGGAGACTCATGAACGAACGCTTGTGGCGCGACTTCGGGTTATCAGACGGTTGTCTTCTAATGGGCCAATTCCCGCAATGAACATCAATTGTTCTGAAGACCTATGAAGATGGAACTTCCAGGGATGGTTTACTGCAACATCATTGGTGCGTCCTGGGTTTGCACTGGTCCTCCTCCTCTTCCTACTCCTCTTTCTCCGCCGGGGCACCGCAGCGGGCCCGACGGAAGGGCCGCGCAGGAGGGGTGGTGACGCGTGCTGCGAAGAAGCTTGGCTGCTGCGACGCGGGTCCCCTCTGCACTCGCGCCTCCTCTTCTTCTCCCCTTCCTCTCCTCCATTCTTCCCCCCCACCAAAGCCCCCTCCTCCTGCCTCCCCCCTGGCGTCCTGGAGCAGTAGTGCCTCAGCCGCAACATCGAGCCGCGCAGGCTGGTCAGCTCCTCCCGGAAGGACGGCGGGCTGCTGCCCTCCTCGGCCTTGCGGGCGACCTCCTCGGCGACGACGGCGACGACGACGAGGACGACGAGGACCTGAACGATGGCGGAGGTAGGCTGGCGTCCTCCTGCTCCGCATCATCATCACCGTCGACGTCGTAATGGTCGTCGTTCTTCTTCTTCTTCTGCTTCTTCTCCTCCTCCTCCTCCTCCTCCTCCTTGTCGTCTTTCTCCTGGGGTTGCATAAAGAACAGTCCATCTGCCGCTAACAGGCAGTTCAACTCCTTCTTGACGAAGCCTCATCGGAGGAGGAGGAGGAGGAGGAGGAGGAGGAGGAGGAGGAGGAGGAGGAGGAGGAGGAGGAGGAGGAGGAGGAGGAGGAGGAGGAGGAGGAGGAGGAGGAGGAGGAGGAGAGGAGGAGGAGGAGGAGAGGAGGAGGAGGAGGAGGAGGAGGAGGGAGAGGCGAGGAGGAGGAGGAGGAGGAGGAGGAGGAGGAGGAGGGGGAGGAGGAGGGGGAGAAGGGGGAGGAAGAGAGGAGGAGGCGGAGGAGGGAGGAGGAGGATGAGGAGAGGAGGAGGAGGAAAGGCGAGGGGATCAGAAGACGGGGACGAGGAGGGTGAATGAGCGAAGATGGATCAGCCGGCCGCCGCCGCCGCGTTCTCCTCCTCCTCCTTCTCCTCCTCCTCCTGGTCCTCCTTCGCCCCTGCTGCTGCTACTGCTGCTGCTGCTCCTCCTCCTCCAGATCGTCCTTCTCCTGATCAGACGGGAGGAGCGAGGCAGCAGCAAGTCCACCACTCCAGCTTGCCCAGAGGAGCCAACAGACGGCGTGATGAACGCTGCGGCATTCCACGGGCCGGAGGCGGGGAAGAGGAGGGGTACACGGGAGGACGACGAGAGAATACGTCATCGGCCTCTTGCTCTTGCTCCGCCTTCTCCGCCCCCTCCCTCCTCTTCTTCTTGCGCAGGCTGCGAGGTGTCACGCGCCTGAAGCGCTAGAGGCGGCCACTACAGCAGCAGCAGCAGCAGCCACAAGAGCAAGAAAGGCGTGCCTTGCACAGGCTCAGCAGGAGCTCTCGACGGCATCATGACAGTCGCCACCAACAGCTCGTGCAAGGCTATCCCTCCTCCTGCTCCTCCGCCTGGACGCTCTTCCAGCGTGCACATCTGCCTCCTACTCCGCGCCCTCCCTCGCCGCATTCTCCTCCTCTCGCTCCCTTCCGCCCGCATCTCGAGCAGGGGATCGACTACATAGTTGACTCGCACCAGAAATTATTTTCGTGTAGAATCCAATAAGTACACGGCGTTCGTAGACCTACGAATGTTCTACGTACTTGTTCATTGGTTCGAAGAGTTAATGTTGGAGTACATCAACTCTATCGTCGATTCCCTACTCGAGCATCTTCCTCCCATTCTCCTGCTCCCTCGCGTCCCCTCTCCCCTCCTCCTCCTCCTCCTCCTCCTCCTCCTCCTTCCCCTCCTCCTCCTCCTCCTCTCCTCCTCCTCCTCCTCCTCCTCCTCCTCCTCCTCCTCCTCCTCCATTTCCTCCTCCAGCTCCTCCTACGTTTCCTCCTCCATTGCCTCCTCCTCCACCTCCTTCCCCACCGCCGTTTCGTCGTTGTCGTCGTGTTCCTCCTGCACGATTACCCATTATGAAAGCTACTCTCCTCTCTCCCCTGACCCTGTCTGGAAGATGCTCGGCTCTCTCCGCGTGTTTTTTGTTTGTTTTCGCACAGGCTTTCAAACATTGGTCTTTCCTATGTTTTTGTTTCCACTGGGAGCATTGTCGGTGCCTTAAGGTGGCGCTGCCGCTGTAGCGTTGGCCTCATCTCAGGATCGGCACATTGATCCCGTCGTTCAGAATTGCGCTTTTGCCCAAACGCGGGCCACTTTTCTGGATCCGTGTCCATCATCATCGTTGTCGCCCCCCTCTTTTTCCCTCCCCCGCCTTCCCCTGGTCCTCCTGCTTCTCCCGCTCCTTCCACTCCAGTTGCCGCTGCTGCTGTTCGTCATCGCCCTCCTCCTCCTCCTCCTCCTCCTCCTCCTCCTCGTCATCCTCCTCCTTCCTCATCCTCCCCCTTCTCCTCCTGCTCAGCCTCCTGCTTATCCGCCACCTCCTCCTGAAGCCCTGAAGCCCTGATGGTCTGGGAGTACCTCTTTCTCTTCCTCACCCTCCTTCTGTGCACGCAGTCCCTCTTTCCCGATTGTGCGTCACACTACGGGCTTTTGGGGGCAGCTCCAGGCCCGCTAAGGCACGCGTCCGCGGATGGAGAAGACATCAGCGCAATGGGAAGACACGGGTGGGATTCCGATGCCAGATGCGGCGCGAGCGCACCCAGCCTACGCATCCTGCTCCCCGCGCTCCCCTTGCTGGAGGCGCCCGGCGGAGGAGAAAAAAGCGCCTCGCCCTCCCGGGGGCTCCCTGAAGTCGGTGTCGCCGCCGGCCTTGGCGACGGCCCTGGCGCCCGCGGTGATCGACGAGGCGCAGAGGCCGACGAGGGACCTGACCTGCACGGGTGGAGGGGGCCAGGACAAGGAGGAGGGGGAAGGAAGGAGGAAGGAGGAGGACGAGGAAGAGGAAGAGGAGGAAGTCGTCGAGGTCGCCTCTGTGCTCGCCGTCGTCGTCGCAGGCCTCCTCCTCCTGCTGCCTCTTCCTCCTCTCTCTTTCTCGTGCGGCTGCGTCCCCTCCTCTTCCCCACTCCCCTTCTTATCATTATTGTTCTCTTCCTCCCCCTCTTTCTCCTCGTCCTTTTCCGCATCCTCCTCCTCCTCCTCCTCCTCCTCCTCCTCTTCCTCCTCCTCCTCCTCCTCATCGTCATCGCCCACTGCCCTTTCTATGTGTCTTTCTCTTTCTCATTATCCTCCTTTTTTCCATTCTTACTCCTCCTCGGCTCCTCCTCATCCTTCCATTCTCATCCAGTGCCCCAGGAGGAGGAGGGTGATGAGGCAGATCACCACTGAGGGATAGGGGAAAGGGGAGATGTGGAGGAGGGTGGGGGGTCAGGGAGCGAAGGAAGATGCGGAAGAGGAGGAGGAGGACCTACATGCACAGCTTGATACTTTCGATCACAGGTCGGTCGGGAGAGGTGGGGGCGGGTACCACGGGATGGTGTGACGCATGGCGCCCTATATTGCCGACACTGTGAGGGACACCGAAGGTGCCGCCCTCCTTTTACAGCCGCCCACGGCGCGGGTCCAGCAGCACACAGAGCTAGCGCTAGACACTCCGAGGGAACCTGATGCAGGCTACCCTCCAGTCACCGTGCTCTCAATGGTCACTTGGGTCCCTAACCAGGACGTGCCCCGTTCTTTTCTCACTACACGGCAACATCCATACGTATTTGCTAGTGCCATACAGTCGTGTTGAAGAATACCTTTGGCAGTCTACAGACGCCACTCCTTGTTTTCAAATGGCCTTCACCACTTGTTGTTGTATCCATGCCAAGGCCACTCAACGAGCACAGACTCTCTTTTCTTTTCTGTCGCAGACGTTTACGTGAGCAAGCTGCCCACGTAAGCGGACTGGTCGCACAGACTGAACTCGACAGAAACAGCTTGTACTACCTCTGTTTACTATGCCATCTCGATGCAAGCTGCTTCTAGCACGAGGCTCTAGACACCGCCCCGCATTTTAACAATTCTTTCCCCACGTCTCTGGCGCCCTATATCTGGACTACCTCCTGGCCAGCCTCAAGAATACAGGCCAGCCGAATTTGACAGACTCACATGCCTACTTAGAGCTGCTCGCGTGCAGGCATACGCGATACTGTAGGCCGCACACTATATACCTGCTTCTCCTCCACCCACGTCTGTCGACTCTTGCACGTTTTCCCCACTCCAGATCCACAACTGGTGACGGTGGCCCCTCCACCTAGGAACCGACGAGCGGGCCTACAGCTGGCGGAAGAGCGGGCCTACTGCTGGCAAGAGGGGAGACTTTTTGTTTTACTGAGCATCGCTCAAGCTGCACACTATCTACTGCAACACGCCCAGTACTGTACTTGGCGGAAGACGGGGGGGTGGTCTGGAGATGAAGCTTGGTGAAGAAGGCTGTACCAGGTTTGGGGTCTACTTTAAACCCTGGGCTGCAGTTCTAGACCTGCATGCTTGTTTCCTACCCTAACTTGCCAATTCGACACTCACCACACCAAGGGACTCTCTATTCCGTTCTTACTTACGCTACTCATTATCATTACTCCTGCTGCTGCTATCCAACTAAGGTGAGTGTCGTCACACCTGGCGGGCGCCTACTCTCACTAATATTCTTGTCCTATGCTCGCACTCTCTTTTATTTTCCGCGGCGCCCGCCAGGTGTTTTTTTTTGTTGACCCGAATCGTTTTTTTCTCCAGCCACCACGAACGCCACAGCGTCACGCTCAGGTTGGTCTAACGTTTTTTAAAAAGGAGGAGGAAGGGGAGGACGAGCAGAAGCAGATGAAACAGGAGAGGGAGAAGGAGGACGAGGATGCTCCTCTCTCCGCCTCCATCCTCCTCGTCCTCCTCCTCCGCCTCCTCTCTGATCTCCTCCTCACTCCACCTCATCCGCCTCCCTCCTCCTCCTCCTCCTCCTCCTCCTCCTCCTCCTCCTCCTCCTCCTCCTCCTCCTCCTCTCTCCACCCTTCTTCTTCAATCACTTCTCCCTGTCGCTCTACCACACGCTTCCGTAGGGCGGACCGGGCGTTTCGCTGGAGCCTTCCTTGCAACCTACTCTCCCGAACCTCAAGGTTACCGACATCTACACGGATAGAACGCCGCTAGTTTCCAAACTGTGTCTCTCGCCCGAAGGCCGCTCACACTCGACTTAAAACCGTCCACAATTACATAGGTGAGGGCTGGCCGTTTTCAGAATGTGGCTCTCGTTTTAGCACCGCGCACATTTGTCTCACAAGCCGTGAACATCTACGTGGATGGAGGTCGGCACGTTTTCAGCATGTGGCTATCGCCTGAACACTTCCTCAATACGTATTACAACAAGTGTGACATTGCGCAAACAGTTACATGGATGGAGGGCGGGTTCTTCTCAAATCCGCCGACTCTGTCGGGGTGTGGAAGACGCTATTCTGTCTGACTGCCGTAGTCGTCGTCGTCGTCGTCGTCGTCGTCGTCGTCGTCGTCGTCGTCGTCGTCGTCGTCGTCGTCGTCGTCGTCGTCGTCGTCGTCGTGGTCGTCGTCGTCGTCGTCGTCGTCGTCGTCGCCGTTGTCGTGGCCGTCGCCGTCGCAGTTGATATCCTTGCCCTTGGCCCGTCGCCGCTCGCCCCCCATTTCACTGGGCCCTCCTCCTCAAGCGGGCCAGCCAATGAGAAACCGAAGCGAAATTGAGCAACGTCGTAGTTGAGTCGAAGGGATGCCCCTTCACTTTGATCCCTTCCCCCCGGGGTGGGGGGGGGATGGGGGGGTAGGGGGGGGGGTCCCAGGAGGTGTCCTCGGGGGGTCCCTGGGGGGTGTCCCGGGGGGCGGGGGCTGGGGCTCACAAACGCCCTAAAGCGAAACCTCGAGTGCCCGAAGAGGCCCCGACGATGGTGTAAGAGGGCATCCTCCTCCTCCTGCTCCTGCTCCTGCTCCTGCTCCTCCTCCTCCTCCTCCTCCTCAAGACGCTGTTCTGTTTGACTCGTCGTCGTCGTCGTCGTCGTCGTCGTCGTCGTCGTCGTCGTGGTCGTCGTCGCCGCTCCCCCCTTTCACTGGGTCCCTCTCCTCAAGCGAGCCAGCCAACGCGAAACCAAAGCGAAAGATGAGTCGAAGGGAGGCAATTTGGAGGTGTGGCAAGGGCGGTGGTCCTGGGTCTGAATACCCCCCCCCCGGAGATCCTGGGGCTCACAAACTCCTCCGAACGGATCCCGAGTGCCCCAAGAGGACCCAAAAACGGCCCAAAAGGGCCTCCTTTTCCTCCTCCTCCTCCTCCTCCTCCTCCCTCCTCCCTCCTCCCTCCTCCCTCCTCCCTCCTCCCTCCTCCCTCCTCCCTCCTCCTCCTCCTCCTCCTCCTCCTCCTCCTCCTCCTCTTCCTCCACTTCCTCCTCCTCCTTCTCCTCCTCCTCAAGACAGCTGTTCTGCTTGACTCGTCGTCGTCGTCGTCGTCGTCGTCGTCGTCGTCCTTCAGGGTCGGCGGCTCCGGCGGTAAGGCCTTCACAATAGGAGGGTCTAGCCCGAGATTTCACCAACACATAACGCCATAATATGGTGCAGCGGGAGCACAAATGGAAGGCGGCTCCTCTTCAAAATGAGGCTATCGCCGGAGGCTTCGTTTGTCCAAACAGCAGTGCTTGCACTCAGGTGTTCTCAACTGCGCTTCTAAGGGATTCAACGGGTATGCCGAGAATTCGCCGTGCTGCCGCCCGTTGCCGCCCGTGGGGGGATGCCGAGAATTCGCCGCGTTGCCGCCCGCGGGGGTAACCCCGGCAAGCCTTTGAGAACCCCCCCTGGGTGATCGTTAGCACCGCACCAAAATTTAATATTTTCAGGGGGTCGTCTTCGCAGAGCGATATCTTCAGCACCTCGCACAAATCAAACAAAATTCCGTGGCGCGTCGCGCGCCGCGCAAGAAGACATCCTTGGGGATGCCTTTGGATATGCTGCGCATGTCCTAGAACATTTCTCACGGACCAGCAAAGGATTGCCTCGGGAATCCCGAGGGGCTAGCAAGGCTAGGGGCTAGCAAGGCTTGGCATGGGCTTAGCAGTGCGCAGCAGGGGGCGAGCCTGGCTTATCATTGCTTCGCAGGGCTTAGCGGGAGCTAGCAGGGCTCAGCAAGGCTTAGCTTGGCCCCGAGGTAACGCTTCCAGGGTGCCAGATGCGTCATACTTTCACCGGGTGAGGGGTGGGTGGGTGTGGGGGGGTTCTTAAGGCTTGATGCGGTTATGCCAAGGATTCGCCACCCGTTGCTACCCGTTGCCCCCGAAACGCGCAAACCAGTCCATCACCCACACAACCTATGATTTGTGCATTCTCGCCTTTTCGCTTCTAGGGCTTTTGACACCTCAAGATGGCTGGTTCGCTCTGGTCTTTCCTCCCCCTCCTCCTCCTCCTCCTCCTCCTCCTCCTCCTCCTCCTCCTCCTCCTCCTCCTCCTCCTCCTCCTCCCCCTCCCCCTCCTCCTCATCCATGAGAATCCCCTTGGGGAGACCAAGACCTCGGGGGCCAGCGTGACCTCCACCGTCAGCGTGATGCTGCCGAGTGTGCCTCCGGCTGCGGCGTCGGGCCCGAAACGGTCGCTGAATCCTCGCGCGGGGATCCAGGCGGCGAGGCCGTCGTCGATCTCGCCGCCGCTATCGCCGCCGCCGCCGTCGTCATCG